CGCACCCCAGACCCGCCATCCCAGGAAGGCGCAGTGGCCAGTCTGGGAGTTAAGGGTTTCGTTGCTGCCCTGGTGTCAAGTTTTCACCTTCAGAAAGGAGTGAGGAGACATTTTGTGATTGCTGGAAACACGACAGAACATGAATCACAACGGAACAGGAAACCGGCTTCTTGAACTGCAAAATGTACATTACAGTTCTAATTGTTCTGCAAAAGCATAAAAACAATTTTTTTTTATTTTATTTATTCATTCATGAGAGACACAGGCAGAGGGAGAAGCAAGCTCCCTGCAGGGAGCCCAACGTGGGACTCGATCCCAGGTCTCCAGGATCACACCCTGGGCCAAAGGCAAGCGCTAAACCGCTGAACCACCCAGACTGCCCACATAAAAACAATTTTTTAAAAATAGAAATTATCGGGTAGCCCGGGTGGCTCAGCGGTTTAGCGCTGCCTTCAGCCCAGGGCCTGATCCTGGAGACCCAGGATTGAGTCCTGCATCAGGCTCCCTGCATGGAGCCTGCTTCTTCCTCTGCCTCTCTCTCTCTCTCTCTGTCTCTGTGCGTGTCTCTCATAAATAAATAAATAAAATGTAAAAAAAATTACCATCAAAATGGAAACTGAAAGCACATACTCTAGGAGAGACACCTCTTGGAAACACTCTGAGCTTAGACTGTGGCCCACTACCTCTCTTTGCGGTGTTTTTTTTCTAAAGTGCCTCCCTCCGGCTATGAGATCCTCGGACACGAGGTCACTGAGACGCATCTGCCTCCCACACCCGTCCCTGCCCTGTGGACCCGAGGCAGCTGGCACCCCAGGGCTGGGCCCAGCTTGCCTGGCCCGCTGGGGACACTGTGAGAGCCACACTGCCACCGTGTGGACACCGATGCTGACGCCCGCTGCTGAAAACCACGGCTGCCCACCGCCCACCCTGCCGGGGGTCCAAGCCCCACAGTTGCAGTCGGATGGCCTAGACTGGCTGGCTGGTCCGGGGGGCGGAGCGGGGGGAGCACCTGTCTAGAATCCAATCAGCCCCTTGCTAGGGGCTATAGAGCACTTCTAAGCTTCTACCTCCTACTATTTGGGTGACCCTGGACAAGCTACTTCACCTCTCTATGCCTCATTTTCCCCATCTGCGAAATGGAGATTCACAGGATTGTAGGATTAAATAAATTGGTACCTGTAGGGTGCTTATCACAGTGTCAGGTGTTTGGTAACTCTCCAGTATATCAGTAGCTTTCAAACCCTCTGACCACGACCCACAGTAAGAAACACGCTCTACATCACAACCCAGGACACACAGATATAGACCTAACACTGACAACTGCTCCACAAAATAATACTTATAATATACAACGTACTCTGACATTTTCAATTCCATTTGTTTATTTTAAAGCTGATCACAGGGACGCCTGGGTGGCTCAGTGGTTGAGCATCTGCCTATGGCTCAGGGTCCTGGGGTCCTGGGATCGAGTCTCACATCGAGCTCCCTGCAGGGACCCTGCTTCTCCCTCTGCCTGTGTCTCTGCCTCTCTCGTCTCTCATAAATGAATAAATTCTTTAAAAAAAAAAAAAGCTGATTACAATGCACTAAATGGATTTCACAAACCCACCAATGGCTCACATCCCACAGTCTGAAAAGCACTGCAATAAATCTCTGCAAGAGACAGCAGGAGAAGCTTTACCCCGTAGCTCAGGCAGCAGCCCTGGCTCCCTTCCCTTCCTCTAACACCTGTGCCCTGAGCCTGCGTGGTGCCGGAGCTGGACCCACTCCAGGTTGGCTCTGGATGGGCAGCCACACCAGCCTGGAGCTGAGGAGCCCCTTTGTGGCTTACTGTGAGTGCAGCCTTGTCAGAGGCTCTCTCCCTGCAGAAAGAGAGAGGAAGAGATTTCATCATTCCTCGGGCACTGACAATATGCTGGGCCCTGTTCTCAGTTCTTCCCACAACCTCACAGCGCCCTAGGAGGAAGGCATCATTCTTCCCATTTCTCAGATGAGAAGACAGAGGCCAAAGAGGCCACGTGACTGTGGAACAAGGATAAACAGGACTTGTCCCCCTTTGGAGTTTGGACTGTGAATTACGCAGGGAACTTGGCCTTCCAGAAAATGCAGTGGACATTGATGAATAGGATGAATAGGTGACTGGAAGAAAAAGTGCAGGAGATACAGGGAAATGGAAATAATGGGCAAAGGGGAAGCAAGCACCCCGACCAGATGGCATCTGTATTAGCAGAAACAGCTGCACACAAGGGGCGCTGACGTCAGAGGGGCCAGAAGAACTGGGGCTCCCGCTGTGGATTACCACAACTGGCTCCAGTCCTAGGCCAGGGGGAAGCAGAGCAAGACAGAGTGGAGAGGGCCAGGCCTGCCCACGTACTCCCCTGGTCTCCTGCCCATGAGGGACACTCAGAAAAGTGAAAGGCTGACACAGCTGATGACCAGAGGGGGGATAGGCCTGTTCAAAGAGTTCCTTGCCCATCCCAGGGGAGGAGGCCTACACCCTGTGGCTGTGCACACCAGGGGAGTGAGGGCATGAACCTGCCAACTGTACAGAGAACAAGTATGGCCAAGACAAAGTGGGGAAAAAAAACAAAACAAAACCGACTATGGCAGCGATTTTGGAAGGGTCTAATGGAGCCCTGTAATATGGCGGGGAAAATGGGATTTGGGATAAGGAGATGTGATTCATGCTCCTGCTCTCTGCTTGTGGTACAAATAATTGCCGAGCACCTACTACGGCACCAGGCCCTGAGATAAGCAGGGGAGGGACCCAGTGAACAGGTTCAGTTATGAACTGGCCCTGAGAAAACAGGTCAGGAGTTGTGTGTGCCAGAGGGAAGGATGAGAGCTGTTGGAAAACTGAGAATGAGTTAGGTTTCTTTGTTTTTTAGAGTTTTCATTTTTTTAAAAGATTTTATTTGAGAAAGAGAGAGAGTATGAGCATGAGTGGGGGGAGAAGCAGAGGGACAAGCAGACTCCCTGCTGAGCAGAGAGCCCCACACGGGGCTCAATCCAGACCCTGAGATCATGACCTGAGGCAAAGGCAGACAGTAAACCGACTGGGCCACCCCAGGACCCCTAGATTTTTCATTTTTATGTTAATCTCTACACCCAACACGAAGCTTGAGTTCACAACCCTGAGATCAAGAGTCACATACTCTTCAGATCAAGAGTCACATGCTCCTCCAACTGAGCCAGCCAGATACCCCATTTTTTTTCTTTTTTTAACATTTTTTAAAAATATTAGTAATAAAGGCAGTGGAAACAAAGAAAGAGACAGTAACAGCAGCATGTTGAGTGTGGTGATTGATAAGATGCACAGGGGCTAGGGAAGCTTGGAGAAGAGCATCTCTCCCGCTCAAGGAGGCTCAGGGAAGGGTCTCCAAAGATGATGCTCGTCTGGTATCTGGTGGCATTTTCTCCCATGGAGAGTACAGGGAATCCCCTTCCAGCCGTCGCAGCAACGGCAACATTCAGGGACAGGAGAGACATTTAAGCAAACCCTGGAGCTCTAAGGGGTTCCCACTGGAGGTGTGAGACGGGGCTCTGCCAATTCTCCTGCCCCGACTTGGGACAAGTCCGTAACCTTTCTGTAAACCTTTCCCTGAGATTCTATTTACTAAGCTTCTCGGGAACATCCCCTGTGAGCCAGGCACTGTATCAGATTGCTGGGCACGCGGAGTCAAATAGGAGCCAAGAACTCCGGGGATCCCTGGGTGGCGCAGCGGTTTGGCGCCTGCCTTTGGCCCAGGGCGCGATCCTGGAGACCCGGGATCGAATCCCACGTCGGGCTCCCGGTGCGTGGAGCCTGCTTCTCCCTCTGCCTGTGTCTCTGCCTCTCTCTCTCTCTCTCTCTCTGTGACTATCATAAATAAATAAAAATTTAAAAAAAAAAAAAGAGCCAAGAACTCCTACTGTCAGGAAGCCTGTGGTCTGGGGGAAGAGATGGCACCAAGGACTGTTATGCGAGAGTTAGGAACAAAGCCCTAAAACGAGGAGGCAATTAACGCTGCTCAAAGAAGTGATGATGAGTAGGTGTTCCACCAAGTGGAGAGAGAAAAAAAGCATTTCTTCTTCCTCTTTTTAAAGTTTTTATTTCTTTATTTGGCAGAGCACAAGCAGGGAAGCGGACTGGACTCCGGGCCGGGCGGGAAGCCGGAGGCGGGACTCGACCCCAGGGCCCTGAGATCAGGCCCCGAGCCCCAGGCCGACCTTAGCCGCCTGAGCCAACCGGGCGCCCCCGCAAAGGCATTTCGGGTCAAGCAGTCAGGGAAGGAAAAGGCGGTGATGGATCCTAGATCCGCGAGGCCTCGAGGGGTGGTGATGTCGGGGTCCGGCCGGGTCCCCGCAGCGACGGCGGGTGCGGGGGAAGGCCGGGCCGCATGGCCCTCCCGGCACTCCCGGCACCACCGCCACCGCCTGGCCCCCCGGACAGCCCCGGGCCCCTGCGACTCCCCAGAGACCGGCTGGAGGCAAGCCCAGCTGGCCAGGTCACCGACTGGGCACAGCGGCCCCCGCCAGGGTCCCCGCCAGGGCCCCCGCCAGGGCGGCTGCCCGAAACCTCGGGGTCGTGCCGGAGCATCCTCCCTACTCGGGGTCTTTAGCCCCCAGCCAGCACTCCGCCTCCGGGGAGCCTGGCTTCCCCGGAACGGGGGGAAGGGGTCTTCGGCACCCTTTTCGGTTTTCGGAGGACACGGAGGCAGAGCGGGGCGGTTCAGGAGGTTGCCGCGCCCGGAGCCACGCCCCCTCCCGCCCTTTCCTCTCGTGGACTCCTCCCCCGCCCCTTCTTCTTCCGGACCCTCCTCTAGGACCCGCCCGCCTTTTCCGGCCCCGCCCCCCGATGGCCACACCTCTTCCGGGAGCCCGAGGGCCCGCCCCTTCTTCCGGTCCTTCCCCCTGCGAACCCGCCTCCTCTTCCGTTTTCTCTTCCCCTCCCCCACCAGAAGCCCGTCTTCCGGTCTCTAACTGAGGCTCCACGTCTCCCGCCATCCCCATTGGTGGGAAATCCAAGCCGCCCCTCAAGCTGCGGAGAGAAGCGTTCCGGGTTGCCTGTCCCCGGAAGTGATGTTCGAAAGGCCCTCCCCCCGGAAGTGACGAAGGGAGTGCCCTTGACTGGCGGGGAGGGCCGGGCAGTGCATCCCTCCGCTCTGGCTGCAGGGAGGTAGGAGGCTCGTGAGGGTGGCTCGAGGCGGTGTCGCGGCGGAGACACGCTCCGGGCCTTCTCCTCCGCCGGCCGGCGGCCGAGCGGGCGGAGGCCCCGGGCGGCGGGGGGGACCTGCCCCCCGCGGAGCCGGGATCCCCGGTGGCGTCGGACTCCTCAGTCCGTCAGACACGTCCCTTGGTTTTTAGAACCCCCACACTCCCTCCTGTTCCCGAGCCCCTTCGTTCCCCTCGAGCTGTTGCGATTCCTCTTCTCCTGATCCTTGCATAACCCCCTTTCCCCTTAATTTCCCGTTAGAAGGCCTCCTAAGCGAGTAATAAAGAGTTGCAGACGGCCTTGGGTCCCAGTGTTGACTCTCCTTTAGTAGTTGGCTTGGTTGCGCGCGCAGCCCGGGCTCGTCGCCGGGGTAGCGCCGTGGGGCCCGGCTGCCCGCGGGTGACCCCGGAGGACCAGGCGCGCGGGCGCGGGAGGGCGCGGCTGCCCTCGCCCCGGCAGGGGCTCCACCGGCGGAGCTCCCGCCCTCCCTTCTGATCCAGTCCCGCCCATATCCCGACTGCTTTTTTTTTTTTTTTTAATTTTATTTATTTATTTATTTATGATAGTCACAGAGAGAGAGAGAGGCAGAGACACAGGCAGAGGGAGAAGCAGGCTCCATGCACCGGGAGCCCGATGTGGGATTCGATCCCGGGTCTCCACGATCGCGCCCTGGGCCAAAGGCAGGCGCCAAACCGCTGCGCCACCCAGGGATCCCCCGACTGCTCTTTGATTGCCAGCCCAGTTTTCCTGTCCTGGTGTATGATTGCTTCTGCTTTCTGATTCTGATTCTTGGCTTAACCTCTACTCTCAAAATCTTATATGTCATTTCTTGGCATCTTTGTTCAGGCCCGGAAATCTTAAGGCGCCCCTCTCCCCCCAGGACCACCTAAATAACCTTTCTTTTCCTGGTGAATTGACTTCCCGAACTTTCTGCCTTTCCCCCTCACAGATGGCTCAGCGACTTCTCCTGAGGAGGTTCCTGGCCTCCGTCATCTCCAGGAAGCCCCCTCAGGGTCGATGGGCACCTCTCACCTGCAGGGCCCTGCAGTGCAGCCCTGGTCACCTGACAGCAACACCCACCCAAGCCCGGTCAATATACACCACCAGAGTCTGCACGACAACCTTCAACATCCAGGATGGACCTGACTTTCAAGACCGAGTTGTCAACAGTGAAACACCAGTGGTTGTGGACTTCCATGCACAGTGAGTCCTGGGGGTCAGCAGAAGAACGTGGTGCTACTTGTTCAGGAATTTGAGTAGGGACACCTGGGTGGCTCAGTGGTTGAGCATCCGCCTTCGGCTCAGGTTGTGATCCCAGGTCCTGGGATGGAGTCTCCCTGTGAGGAGCCTGCTTCTCCCTCTGCCTGTGTCTCTGCTTCTGTCTTTGTCTCTCATGAATAAATAATTAAATCTTAAAAAAAAAAAGTGATTTATTGAATAGCTGTCATGTCTCAGTCCCACGTCTGATGCTTCACGTGCATAGTCTCATTACAAAGACGGGTAAGACCCAGTCCTGGCTCTCAGAGATGGAGTGTAGTCTGATAGGACACAGACCAGTCAACAGTCTTTAGAGCTCACTGTCACTGGAGCAAGCTGAGAAACACTCATGTTCTGTGTCTTGCTGCCCAAATGGCTGAGAGTCCCCCTTCAGCTTGGACCAAAGCAAGAAAAATAGGACTAACTATCGCATTTTCTGGCTTTGGGTGTTCCTGACCCTGCGGATGAGTTGATTTTTAACATCTTGCCACCAAAACTGGGAAGGGCTGGCAAAGAGTTATCAGTGGCACCACAGTGGTGCCCAAGCACGCAGGGGATGGGCAGGGTTTTCTTTTCAGTGCTATATGTAAGTTTGTCGTAGGGGTAGTTCAGTGCTTATAGCCACCTGATTGTTAGCTTGGCCTTTTTCATTTCTGGACTTTGGGTCCCGACTAGCCACCTAGCTACAAAAGAACTTGGACAAACCCCTCAGATTGAGGCATCCTGGTGTAGCCTGGGTTAGACATTGGGAGGCCTTCTGGGCAAATCTCTGACAGATTGTTTTGCTTTCTTTCCTGTTCTTTCTCTCTGACTCACCATGTTGCCTTGGGCTGGCCATTTGATGTCCTCATGCCTCCCTTTCCTCACTTATAATAGGAGATGAGGTGTTGCAAACTTGTGAGTTCATTAATTGAAATCTCTGAATGTAAAGGGTTTTAAAGGCTGAGACTAAAATAACCATCATGGGCCAGGGGTTCATGGCAAGCAGAGCCTTCTCCCATCCTGGTATAGTGAGCACTCCAGAGAGGACTTCCAAAATGAATGATAAATGGGATTATGCCTCATTTTCTTCTCTGACAAAGTAAGATGTGAGTTTGTTCATTCAGTGCCCGGCACTGTCCATACCACCTGTCCTCACAGGGCTCACCACCCAGAGGGGAGCACCTGTGATCAGTGCAGTGCTAACAGCGGACCCAGGGCCTGGGAGAGGTCACAGGATAACCCAGTGATGAAAGAAGACATTTGGAACGCAACACCAGCCTCTAACCAGCTCTGGGACCTTGCCATGAGTTCCTTAACTTGTAGGATCCTTCATTTCTTAGGAAGGTGTTTTCCTTTGTGGGGTTGAGGGTTCTGGGCAGTAAAAGGTGAGAAGGTCCCAGCATAGCGACGAGCATGTTGTAGACTCCCCCTGGCACTGGCTTCTCCCTGTAGTTCTGGGTCCATGAGGTTGTCTGAAATAACTCCACAGCCTGTAGAATATGTTGAGCCACATGGCCTTAGTGGATTTCTCATCACTGCTTTGAGAGACATAATCTCATTTATTCAAAAGAGGAAACTGAGGCTCTAGAACAGTCAGCTGGTTGATGAGGAGTCCCTTTCGGAACCCAAACCTATTAACTTCAACTTTCATATTTTTCTGTGCGGTGGTGTATTTCTCTTACGCGTGCTGAAATAACCTTTATCAGCGTCTTCCAATGAGGACTTGTGTTTTAGAAGCCTGGGACCTTTGAAAATCCCCCTGCTGCAGAGTTCTGGCTTTATCATTGGGCATGTCAACGTTACAGGTTAATATTCAAACGTTGTAAACAGAGCTGACAAGGACAAAATGCCCCTCAGAAAGATGTGGGTCAGGGAAGGTTCTAGGGAGACAGAAGATGGATTGCTGAGCACTCTTGTGACTAGATGCTTCCTTTCTCCCCTTCTGAGGTGGTGTGGCCCATGCAAGATCCTGGGGCCCAGGTTAGAGAAGGTGGTGGCCAAGCAGCATGGGAAAGTGGTGATGGCCAAGGTGGATATTGATGACCACACAGACCTCGCCCTGGAATATGAGGTATGAATCAGCGGGGGACTGCCGCTGTGCAGCTGGTGTGGGGGGTGCTTGTGACCCTGGGATAGCTGGTGCGGGACATGTCTTGGGGACCACCAGGTAGCCAATAAGGGATGTCTCAGTTTTTTTCTGGAGCTTTCAGGAGTTCAGAGCACTTTGCAGGTGTGACTATATTGGTCCTCTGAGCTGCTTATGTCTCTTCACTACCTTTAGGAAGTGGAATGTATGATCCAAAACACCAGCTTATTCTCTGAGGCTTGGGACATTGATGCATTCCTTCGTTCGTATATTCATCCATGCACATATTCAGTTAGCAGTTATGTGGGAGCCCTGCCATGTGCCAGGCATTCATGATTCTGGCACAACAAAGATGAACTCCTTGTGTCAGGCACTCTCAGTCTAGCAAGAGAACAACAGGTAGATCATTTCACTGTATGGTGAGAAGTGCTGAGAGCAGAGGTGCACAAAGGAAGAAGACACTGATTGTTGGGGTGCAAGGGAAATGCTTCCCATTAGGGGGACCTCTGAGTGGGGCCACGGAGGATGCATGGAGAAGCAACGCCAAGAGCACGGCACACACTGAGACAGGAGGGAGTCTCGTGTGTTTGGTTGGGGGGTGTGTTCATTCAGCAGGTGTGTTTTCTCTTAAATGCCAGGTGCTGTTACTTGGTTGTTGATAAGGCACTGAACGAGGCTGAGAAAATCCCTGCCTTCATGGAGCCTGCATTCTAGTATTTTTGATGGGTGGTCGGCACACTGTTTCTCTAAAGGACCAGGTGGAACATACTTGAGGCTTTACAGGGCATTGGTCTCCACTGCACATACTCAGCTGCCATTGAAAATAGCTAGAGACCAAGGTGCCTGGGTGGCTCAGTTGGTTGAATGTCTGTCTGCCTTTGGCTCGGGTCATGATCCCAGGGTCTTGGGATTGAGCCCTGCATTGGGCGGGGAGTCTGCTCCTCCCTCCCCATCTCCCTGATCTGCTTACTTGTGCACGCTCTCTCTTTCTCTCTTTCAAATAAATAAGTAAAGATCTTTTAAAAAAAAAAAAAAAAAGGAAGGGGCAGCCCTGGTGCCACAGCAGTTTAGCACCGCCTTCAGCCCAGGGCCTGATCCTGGGGTCCCCGGATTGAGTCCCACGTCGGGCTCCCTGCATGGAGCCTGCTTCTCCCTCTGCCTGTGTCTGCCTCTCTCTTTGTCTCTCATGAATAAATAAATAAAAATTTTTAAAAATAAAAATAAATAAAGAATGAGGGAGAGAGGGACGGAAGAAAGGGGGGAAGGGAGAGAAGGAAGGAAGAAACAGCCAGAGACAGTATATAAACAAAGGGGCATAGTTGTATGCAAATAAAACTTTATTCACACAAATAGGCAGCAGGCTCAGTTTGGCCCATGGGCCATGGTTCACTGATGCCTGCTTTAGATAACAAGAATGATGGGAAAGGAGCACCTGGGTGGCTCAGTGGCTGAGCGTCTGCCTTCTGCTCAGGTCATGATCCCAGGGTCCTGGAATCTAGTCCCGCAGGGAACCTGCTTCTGCCCCTCTCTGTGTGTCTCTCATGAATAAATAAATAAAATCTTAAGAAAAAAAAAAAAAACTATGGGGAAAAAATAAGTCAGGAAAAGGAGATGGGGCTAAGCATGGGGCTGGGGAGGGTTTCATTTTTAAAAGGGTGGGTGTGGCAGGGGCACCTAGCTGGTTCAGTGGAGCATGTGACCGTTGATCTCGGGGTTGTGAGTTCACATGCCATGTTGAATGTAGAGCTTTAGTTTAAAAATACATAAATAAAAATAAGTAAATTAAAAAAAAAAGCGGGCTTGGGAAGGCCTCCTTGAGAAGCCTGACATCTGAGCAAAAACATGAAGGGAGTAAGGAAATGACCCAGGCAGCACTTTGGAAGAACAGTCCATCTCCCTCTGTCTGTGTCTCTGCCTCTGTTTCTCTGTGTCTATGAATAAATAAGTAAAATCTTTAAAAAAGGGGGGGGGGGGGCGGGGCAGCCCTGGTGGTGCAGCGGTTTGGCACCGCCTGCAGCCTGGGGTGTGATCCTGGAGACCCGGGATTGAGTCCCGCATCAGGTTCCCTGTGTGGAGCCTGCTTCTCCCTCTGTCTGTGTCTCTGCTTCTCTCTCTGTGTGTCTATGAATAAATAAATAAAATCTTTTTTTAAAAAAAAAGAACAATCCAGGCAGAGCAGATACCAATGCAAAGGCCCTGTGGTCAGGGTGAGCCCGATTTGCTCACAGAATAGCAGTGCGTGTGTGCCTGGAGCAGGGGATGCATGGAGTGTTGGGGATACCCTCCAGCCTTGGAGAACAGGACAGCTAGAGAAAGGGGAGAAGTGCACTGTGGCCAGTAGCCAGCGTGGAGAGCTGAGGAGGGATTAAGAGCACAGGGGGTGACAGTCGGCCACAGACCGAGGGGAAGGGGTCTGGACAGCCATGCTGAGGATACTGTTATTACAGAGCCGGGGTCATGCCTAGTGCCACGTCGCCAGATCTGGCTCCCTGGCACATTTGATCTAACTTGGGTTCTTTTTTAAATACTGAACCAGCTGTTAATGTTTATAACAGAGATTTCATGCCAAAATCCAGATTTCTGGTTCTCTTGAGGTACTTGGACCCGGCCAGTGTGACCCTTCATCCCTCCTTCCTTCCAGTGACCGAAAGAGGGGGCCTGTTCCCTTGTCAGGATTTATAAGTCCAGGCTCGGCTCTCATGAGACCAGCTCAAGTGGAGGTGCCACCTCCAGCCAGCCCCCGAGGGGCGAGGATGAGAATAGGCAGGCTGCCTGTTGCACTGGAGTGGGAGTGATCACCCACCCGAACATCAGGCTGCCCCAGCCAGAGGCAAAGCCGCTGGTGACCACTGCATTTGGGAGAGGGGTGTTGCCGAAAGAAGACTGTCGGTGGCACTGAGTGACTCAGGGCTGCTTACAAGGACTTGTGGGGGAAGGATCACTTGATGTTGTTGTGTTAAGTAAACTATACCCCCAATGTGGGGCTCAAACTCACAGCCCCAGGATCAAGAACTGTATGCCCTACAGACTGAGCCAGCCGGGTGTCCCGAGGTGCTTTTTTAAAGCTCTCCTGCCGATCTTTCGGGGAGTGGGGGCAATTACTGGCCACTCAGATGCTCCTCCCTTTGTCCTACTTGTCCAAGGCCCACGGGGCCACGAGGCGGAGCTTAGGGCTGGAGCGGCTAGGACATCCCCGGGGTAACTGGCAGGCATAAGGTGTATTAGGCCAATTCCTGCCAGCACAGCAGTCAGCCCCAGCCATATTCCAGGATCTGTGGTTAGCCGGTGCAGATGGCAAGAAGAACCCAGTTCCCTCCAACAGTGGTCACACTGGTGATAAGGTTCCCAAGATCATCCCCACCTGCATTCTAGGGAGCCTGGTGACGTTGGGCTGGCCACCGAGGTCCTGTGATGAGGCCTGGAGAGCGTGTGTTACAGGATTGGCTCCCTCCTTCCGCGCTCTGCAGTCCAGATAGTGTGTCGGTCACACAGGACCTCAGGACAGCTGGGCCCACGTCACCTGGTCCCAGCCCCCTTGTTTTGCCAAGCCCCGGGCGGATGTCACTGCTGTGCTTAAGGACCTCCAGCAAGGGTTTTCCTGACCCCCTCCCCCAGCCCTTTCCTTCCTTCACACCTGTTCTTTTGGAAGAGAGCCTGAAGGAGATGTTTGAGTTGAGAGATCCCTAGTATCTCCTGAGACAGCTTCCTCCTTTTCCAAGTGTTGGGTGAACATGTGGGAGAAACTGCTTTAAGTTGTATTCAGGGAATTTGGTGCCCCTACCTGAGCTTTCCAGAACACCTCCCCTAAGCCAAGCACACACCATCTGGGTGAGTCTCCCTCCTCACACACATTCCCCTTGTACCACACTTCTGCTTTGACCCTAGAACTCCACTGTCTCCCAAAGGAGAAGGAAGGGAAAGGCTGGGGGCCTCAGGGTTTCAGTGTCCCCCACCCCACCCCCCTTTGCACACTGCCTTGGCTTGGCCAAATGAAAAGCTCTCTCCTCTCTCATCTGTTCGTCCCCACTGAATGGCCAGGCATTCCCTGATCATTCAGACCCTGCCAGCTACTGGGGGCAAAGAGCAGATCCAGATGTGGACCTTTGAGCCTTTATGCTTTCCTCTGGGGCTTTTTCGGACTTGACACTTTTAGCTGTTATGCTTTTACTTTTTCCTCATATATAGAAGGCCTTTAAAAAACATTAGAAAAACAGCCAGGTAATAAGTAATAAGGGGGAAACGTCACCTGTCATCTTGCCATCCCAACACAATCACTGTCAGGATTTGGGGGAAGTGGTTTAAACTTTTATTTGAATTTTTTCCCTCTTAGTGTTTCATCTAACCTCATAGACATTTCATTGAATACTTATATTTTGGTGCTAGAAAGTATCGTATTCAATCATTACCATATCCCCCTATTTTGAAAGTATTCTAAATCAGTGCTTCACAATCATGCATATGATCTGGGATGTTGCTTAAAAACAGATGATGGATGATTCACTAGGTCTAGGAAGAGCCCAGGATTCTGCTTCTCTACAATCTTCTCTGTGACTACTGCCAGCGGTTTGGAACCAAACATCAAGATGCAAAAGTTTCAAAGTCCTATGCTAGCCTTCTGGGGGCATGCAAGGGTTCACACCTGCTGGTGTCCATCTCGTGGGTTTAGACAAACGTACAGTGACATGCATCCACCGTTACGGTTTTGTACAGAAGAGTTTCACCATCTTAAAAATCCCCTGTGCCCCACCTTTTCCCTCCCTCCTCCCCTTGGGCCCCTGGCAACCACTGATCTTCCTACTGTCTCCATAGTTTTGCCTTTTCCAGAATGTCATATAGTTGGATTTGATTTTTTTGTTTATTTAAGTAGACTCTGTGCCAAGCACGGAACCCAGCATGGGACTTGAACTCCTGACCCTGAGATCGAGATCTGAGCAGAGATCAAGAGTCACTTAACTAACCAAGCCACCCAGGTGCCCCAGGATTTGATTTTTTTAAATAATTATTTCCTGGGGTGCCTGGCTGGTTCAGTTAGTGGCACATGCAACTCTTGATTTTGGGGTTGTGAGTTCAAGCCCCTCATTGGGTGTGGAGATTACTTCAAAAGAGAAAATCCTATAAAAAGTAATAATCATACTCATAACTTTCTCCAAGAATCCTCCTGTGTCCAGAGGCTTCTCATTAGAAGCGTGGAGTCAGCCTTCCTGTGTTTCCCTACGTGGGCTTCCTCGCCCTGCTGGGACTCAGTAGCTCTGAGGCCAGCGTGTGGCAGTTAGACATCACGGACAGCCGGGCCAGACGGATCCTGTGTCAGACCACAGCTCTGTCACTTAGTCACTCAGCTTTTGTGCCTCCGTCTTCTCATGTTGAAAGCCCCACCTTGAGGTGAGAATTCATGAAGTAGAGGATGCAAGTGGTTAGTGTCACCCCTGACACTTGAGGAACCCCTGGTCTAGCAGCCTGGCTGACAGTGATCTTTTCCTTCGCATCAGCTCTGCACTTAGCTAAGGAGGTTGCCAGCCTGCTGTGACAACTGTCACTGTGTCTGTCCCTCGGTAGGCCCTCACAGAAGGGGAGGACTGAGCAGGACCATCGAGCTCAGTGGCAGTGCGGCCCGTGAGCTGCCAGTTAGTGGGAACCAACCACACACACACACTCATCCCGCCCTGAATTCTCAGGGTCTCAGGTTCAGCCTCGAAGGCTCCAGGTGGCATCACAGAGCAGGAGAAGCAGCGCATCCTAACATGTCTGTTCACCTTTCCTCCAGCCGCTCTGTCCCCTCAGTGCTGCTGGAGTTCAGAGGGAAGCGGCATTCTTGCTCCATCACGGCCCCTCTCACACTCAGATCACATTCCAGAGGAATGCTCCAGGGACCTGTGCACTTCCATTTAAGGCAGTGTTTACAAGCACCAGCCCCTCCAGATTTGTGAGCCAAACTCAGGATCGGCAAAGCCACATCCTCCTCCTTGCCGGGAGGGAGGTCCAGTCCCACCCCGGGTACTATAGCAGTGGCCTGGAAAACCAGCTTCTGGCCAGCCTGTTGATGTGTGTACTCGTCTGATTTAGACTGACACTTCAAAGAATGCCCTTGGTCAGTCATGACTAGACCTTGGAGAGTTTGCTGTACGTCTGACTGCAGCGTGGCCGTGTGTGTGTGTCTGTGCACGCGCGCGTGTGTGCGCACGCCTACACACACGAGTTTACACAAATGTGATCCTGGCAGAGCTGGTCTGGAGTCTGAAAATGGAGTCCGCTGCGAGCATAGTCCTACTTAGAGGACACGCAAAAACAGACCGCTTCTCATATATACGACATAGTTTTTATATCAGTTGAAGAAACTGGGTGAGATCCAGTTAGTGATTGCACCTTGTCCCCGAGTTGAGGGGCTGGATTTGAGGTGCCCTAGCTGCCATCACAGGCCACTAGAGGGCGCATAAGAACACAGCTGGGGAGCTGGGCTGGCCCATTCCGAGTGCGTGACTCTTATTTTAAAAGATTTTATTTATTTATATGAGAGAGAAAGAGCACAAGTAGGGAGGAGAGGTAGATGCCGAGCAGGGAGCTGGACACGGGGCTCAATCCCAGGACCCAGGATCATGACCCGAGCCAAAGGCAGACGCCCCAGCCAACTGAGCCACCCAGGCACACCCCCAGTGTGTGACCCTTGATCTCAGGTTGTAGCCCCAGGTTGGGTGTAGAGATTACTTGGGAAAAAGATCTTTTTTTTTTTTTTTAGGATTTTATTTATTTATTTGTTCATTCATTCATTCATTCATTCATTCATGAGGGATACAGAGAGAGCCAGAGACACAGGCAGAGGGAGAAACGGGCTCCATTTAGAGAGCCTGATGTGGGACCCTGAGCCGAAGGCAGACACTCAACCACTGAGCCACCCAGGCGTCCCCCCCCAAAAAATCTTCAAAAAACAAATAAATACACAACTCTGGGTCCTGGCCTGTGCCTGGAGACAGGGTGAGCCACATGCTGGACCTTTGCAGTTCCTGCCACCTCTTGTGTTACAGCCATGGACAACGAGGGTAGGAGCCAGTGGTAGGGCCACAAGCAGCAGCACCCACGGTCAGGCCGCTGCCAGATGGGTCTGCCTGCGTCTTCCCTCCGAGAAGTGTGTCAGCTACCACCTGCATCAGCCCCAGGACACTCCCTGCAAGAGCCTGAGAACACCCAGAGCCCGTGAGGGGAGGAGGGCAGGGCCTGCCACCTGGTGGGTGGCACCCAGCTGAGGTGTGAGAGCTGCCTGTCAGGCCCACAGCTCCTTTTGTAACTGACCTGGGTACAGTTTGAACATCCTGACTCCTAGGTCTGGCTTCCCAGGATGACTCATGGGCAGGACAGTACTCAGAATTGGTGAAGACTTGAGATGTTTGTGTAAATTGCTGTTGTTACTTTGTAGTTAACATGTGTAAGAAAAGAATGTTTATCTTGTTCTGTTTACCCATTTTTTTTAAAAAAAAAATGTCTACAAATGTCAGGGAGGGAGCCCAGGGTGCAGAAAATGCTTGATGCCAGAGTGGGCAGTGGGCCTCATTACATGCCGTGGAATCCGTACAGGTCCCCTGAGGGAACTTGAAAACATGCTTCATAGGCCAAGAATTTTGCCTCCATCCCCCTAATAAATAAACCTCAGCTCCTATACGGCCGAGGCCTTCGTCCCACACCGTCCAGCATGAGTCACTGAGTTTCTGGACCCTGCTGGCCATTCAACGGCCGCGAGCTCATGTGGCTCACATGGGGCCTGTGTTAGAAGCTCCTGACGTGCTCCCCGTAGCCACCACTTGCCGGGGGCTCCTGCACACTGGGCCCTCTGCCAGGTCCTGACACTTGAGGGCCCTGCCAGGTTCAGGGCACATGCTAGACTCTGCTCGCCGTGCTCATGCAGCCCCAGACCTGGTGTAAGTGCTGCCAGCAGCTCCATTTTGCTGATGGGAACACAGAGACCATGCTGACGGGGCCTGCCCGGAGCAGCTCAGCATGGGGTCATCCACTGCCAGAGCCTGGGCTCCTCGCTGCTCAGCTCTACATACGAATCTTTCATCTCTGTCCTAAACCTTCAAGGATGTCCTCAGGGGAGATCCTGTCACCCCCATTTTACAGAAGAGGGTGCCGAGGCCGGGAGCAGAGCCAGGACTCAGGCTCTCATGTCTCTGGGCTACCCCCCTATCCCCACCCAGGCTGGGCTGCCCCTTGGGGAGCTTCTCCTGGCCCCGTAGCCGCTCCCTGCCCCCAGCCCTGGCCTGCAGCTGTGTGGGCTATTTTCATCCCTCCTGTCACTGCAGCCAAACCACTGGGCCAGTGAGTCAGTCCTGTGGTTCGGGGAGGAAGGGGACCGCCGGGAGCCCACAGTGGAAAAGTCTTTCCAGTGGGCGGGCCTCCAGGCCCTGCAGCACCCCTGCACCAAGGGAACAGGCCCCGCCTTCCGCTCGGCCTGTCATTGCCTTGCAGAAACCACCAGCCTTCCCCACGACGGCTGGGGAATGGCCGATGAGACCAGTTCGCCTCCAGGTAACGCGGTCTACCTCCATCTGCTCCTCCAGGTGTCCGCTGTGCCCACTGTGCTGGCCATCAAGAATGGGGACGTGGTGGACAAATTCGTGGGTATCAAGGACGAGGACCAGCTGGAGGCCTTCCTGAAGAAGCTGATTGGCTGACAAGCAGGAAAGAGGCCTGGCTGCCCTTGCCCACCAGGGCCCCTGCAGTTCGAGGAGGGGCCCCGCGAGAACTCTGAGCCCTTCCGTGTTGGCCCTTCCTGCCTCCTCCCTTTTGCCCGGCCCCCATGGGCCCGTGCTTTGGAGACCAGGCCCCCAAACATGGGTGCCCAGCTAACCTCCAGGGTGGCTACCCGGGGAATGGTGCTGCCACTGACCTGGGGACAGCCATCTCCTACCCACTGTCTTGTCTGCTCCCACTAGGGCTTGTCTCTGTCCTCCCAGGATGCTGGAGAGAGCCCCAGGCCAGCCCACAGTGCCCCGTGCCGGGTGACAGCTCGGTCCACGTCACCCTGGTCCCTTCTGATCTGCACCCTGGTGCCTGGCCCGTCTGTCTCCTGCGTTTTTCTTTCCTGCTGCTGTTTTGTAAAAAGGAAGAAGGAAAAAGAAACCCAAACAAGGGAGAGTAATATATAATTCTCTCATTTTTTGTAGGTCTGTAATAAAGAACTTTATGTGATCCCTTCTACCTCCTGCTCTGAAGAACAGACCCTGGGCCCCACGCTAAATTACCCTGTAGCCACCCCCCCCAGAGCCACGTCCCTTCCTTCTTCCCAGGCGCCAGGGCAGAGAACACATGGGCAGGGGGAGGGGGGGGTCCCAGACCCCTGTCCCTGGGAAGCCTCACTGTGAACAACCTGGACCAATAAAGCTAGGGTTTGCACTGTTGGGGGCTTCCGTTCTGTCTGGGCTCTGGAAGCACGAGGGGCGACCCCTCTCCAGGCTGCTGGGCTGCTGGCCCTTTGTCCTCTGGCTCTGCCACCCTCTTGCCCTTGACCAGCCACTCCTGTTACTTATACTGTTGTCACTGGTCGCCACTGTCTGGGCACCGCCTTCATGTGCAAGCAGGGCAAGAGGATGCTTGTCCCCTTTATGCAGATAGGGACATTGAGACTTGTGCGGTGCAGAGCCAGGGCTTGTACCCAGGTATGGTTGCCTCTGAAGCCTGGGCTCCTCCAGCTGATCCCTCTGGTGCCTCTGGGGCTTCCTTCTCCACCAGCCAGTAGGCACATGGCCACTCCTGTGGGAGCCAGGCCCCCTAGGGAGCTGGGCTGTGTTTCCTGTGTGTGCCCTAGGAACCCTCAGCCTCGGAGCCAGGCTCTGTCCCACCTTGTTCTCAGCTCTCCCGGGGCCCAAGGAGGAAGATACCAGGCCTGCCAGCCAAGAGAGCCTACCCCCATCTCCCTCGTGGGGCCGAGGTGCCAGCTTCCTAGGGACCACAGGTGTTTGACAGCAGGGGTATCCTGGCACCCTTGCCCTCAGCCTTGGGGTGCCATGTCTACTCCCGGGTGCGTTGGCCTCAGTCGCTCTCATGTTCCTATTATAAGTGCCTGTGTCATATCTGGGTCTTTGAGGGGTCCACCCCAGCACCACCTTGGGAAGGCTGCTGTGGGGAGTGGGGCTGCCTCAGAGCAGCCCCTGAAAGACCTCTGACCCAGGACCCGTCACAGGCATACGGAGGGGAGATGAACCAGCAGCTGGCATTAGATGGAGGCCGAGAGCTCTGGGAGGATGGGCAACAGCAGCCAGCTCTCAGAGGGCACTAAGTGGGTGCCAGGCCTCTCTCGAGGCACCCGACCCCACAGCAGCCACACAAGGTCAGCATCCTCACCATCCTTCCCTTTTATACGTGAGACCCTCTCAGAGGTTGAGGACCTCGCGCAAGATCACGGAGCCCACAGGCGGCTGGGCGGGGATCCGAGGCCAGGCAGGCTGGCCGTCCCTGCACCTCTTCCTCGTGGTACAAAACATACTGTGCGATCTTAGGCCAACAGCTGGCCAGCACAGCAGGCGGTGGCGGCTCGCCTGACCGAAGAGACGCTGATGCGGACGTTGAGTATCTTCCAGAGACGCCCTGCAAGTAAGGGGTGGGCCAGAGTTCAGGGTCACGGTGCTGTGACGCCGAGCCCGGGTCCTGCCAAGGTACCCGCCGCCGCCGCTCCTTAAAAGGTGCCCTTTGCCAAGCACTTTCTACACAAAATTACCTCATTTAATTCCTCTCTTGTGAGGCAAGTCTTATTTCCATATGACAAGTGAAAAAACCGGTTCAGAGAAATTGACTTACCCAAGGTCATGTCTCAAAAGTGATGATGCCAGATTTAAACCCAGGTGGGGGGTCTGGCCTCGCCAGTGAAGGGCTGCCAAAGGGCCCTGGGGCCAGAGGCGGGGCCTCTGCGCTGCCCCGAGCTCCCTGTCCTTAAAAGGTGTGCTGTGGGGTGAGGTAAGCTGGTGGCCTCGGCCGTCCCAGGTTGGCAGTCTCTGCCAGTGCGGCTGTTCGTGGCATGAGTCACTGGCTGTGAGCACAGAATCCTCGGGGTGATCCCATTTGACCAATTCCATGCCTCTGACCTCACCGGGACGCTGCTGGCTCTGCATCGTGGCCCCATTGCTGCCCTCTGGGTGCCACCTCGGGCACAGACACCCCCCCAGGAAAGGGGGCATGGCCACGGGTCCCCGGGGCCCCAAGACCTCCCAGGGGGGCGTTTCTACACCATATTTTCCTGATGCCAAGTTTATCCAGTTGGCCCCAAGACGAGTGGAGGACGGAAGCTTGCATTTGTTGGGCTGTGTGTACGTTGTCTGCTGTGACCCCCACCACTCCTCGCCAGGCAGTTCTCCCCATTTCTCAGGGCAGGAGACTGAGACGGAGCCATGTCTGGAATGGCCAAGATGCACTGCAAACGGGCGTGCTCACCATCAAGGAGCGCCAGTGGGGCTGCCGAGCCCTAGGATGGGGCCGGACCTGGCCGTGCTCTCAAGAAGTTTGCAAAGCAAGGGGCTGCAGGCCACTCCGGAGGTAATGCCAGGGTGTCACCCTGTGACCCATGGATCATCCAGTCTCCCTCATAAGGGCCCTGGCAGCATGACTTGCCCAGGTCACAGCAAGTTTGTGGCAGGGATGCGAGGCCAAGTGCCCTGACTTGAGCCGGCCCTAAAATGAAAGTCGTATGACCTTTCTTCCCGGGCTCCAGGAGAGGTGAAGAGGATGCTGCGTCTCTGCGGAGGCCAGGCTCTGGGGCCGGGACCTGCTGGGTCCAGGGGATGTTGACCCTGCTGCCAGCACCCTTCCCAGCAGTCCCTGCCCACAGAGGTCCTGGGGGGGGGGGGGGGGACTCAGCCCCTGCCCCAGACGCCTGGGGAAAGTTCGTCCGGAAAGTGAAGGCGGTTCTGGCAGGGCGGCCGGAAATCCCTAATGTGCGGGCCTGGCCTGGGAAGGACAGAGAACAATGTGGGGGCCCCGGTGGCCAGCAGGTCGCCGGGTGGCCAGCGAGGCTTCCAGGCATGTTGCCGCAGTTCCTCTCTGCTGCCTGGAACGCTGGCCGCAGGCGTGACCCTGAACCCCCGGCCCGGCGCTGGCTGCCCGGCTCTGCAGGAAACCCGGACCGCTGGTTCTTCCAAGGAACTTGAGCTCCCCAGCCACCTCCTTTTTTTTTTTTTTTTAATTTTTATTTATTTATGATAGTCACACACACACACACACAGAGAGGCAGAGACACAGGCAGAGGGAGAAGCAGGCTCCATGCACTGGGAGCCTGACGTGGGATTCAATCCCGGGTCTCCAGGATCGCGCCCTGGGCCAAAGGCAGGCGCCAAACCGCTGCGCCACCCAGGGATCCCTCCCCAGCCACCTCCTGACAGCCTTCTGGAAGCCAAGGGCCATCTGCAGCTACTGTGAGGTGCTCTAAGTGGGGCAGGAAGAATCAGGTCTGGGTTCAAGTCCTGACTGTGCCACCTTCTAGGTGTGTGGCCTTGGGCACGCTGCCCCCCATTCTGAAGCTCAATGGTGACATCGGCAAAATGAGGCGCCGGGGAGCTAGCTCTCGGGGAGCGTGCTCTGTGCATCATCTCACTGGGCCTCAACAAGCCCGAGAGGCGGGGCTGGCCATCACCGCTTTCCTGATGAGGAAACTGAGGCCCAGAGCACTTCGGTGACCCGGCATTGACAGGTGTCAGGGCTCGGCGCTGAACTCGGGTGTGTCTGACTCTAAAGTCTCTGCGTGCCTCCCCTTTGGGGCAAGGTTTTTTCACCACTTTGAGCCTCAGTGGCCCCTCTGCATGCTGGGCCATAACCCCCCTCCTCACGAGGTCATGTGGGGATGCGTGGCCAGGCGTGCAGAAGCGCTCTGGTACCTAGCCGGGGCTCAGAAAGTGTCCCTTGCTTGGCTCTCCCCTCCCCGCAGCCACCTCTTCAACAGGAAGCACCAAGTTTCCTGAGATAAGGACCCGGCCGCTCACCATGGGCTGGGCCGGCGTTGTAGCGGGCCGTGGGTCTTACACTGGGCCCCCTGCCCTGGCCCCGACCCCTGCCGCCACCCCCTCCTGCTCTGGAGCTGGCTTCGTCTCGTCATCCCACCTGTGGCCCCGGGGAGCTAGAGGTGGTGACCTCATTCGCAGAGATTGCCCAGTGGGATTCACCCTGAGTTGGGCCCTCTGTTCCCCACGCCTCCTGGCCTGGCTCCGACCCCTGGGCCCGCGGGCCACATGCAGCCACTGACGGGAGCACCTCCTGTGGGCTAGGAACCCCACCCCCCCACTGCTGCACGGCTGCTAATTAATCACTGGGGGAGCTGGTCCCAGCTTACTGGGAAACGGTAGGCAAGTAGCTGTCTGTCTCTGGTCCACTGCCTCCCCGTACAGAGGCGACGCAGCATCGCTCCCCGGCGCCCTGCACTGCCAGGTGCTCCGCCCAATCTAACCCTCCCGACACCCACCCCAGGTAGCCATTGTCCTTCGAGGAGGTAGCCATTGTCCTTAGAGGAACCTGAGGCCCAGAGGCGTGGTGTGCCATGCCTAAGGCATACCCGGAAAATGGGCCCGGGGTGGCCTGACCCAATCCCCCCCCCCCCCCCCCCCCCCGTCCTCCCCTGTCCTCCCCCTCTGCCACACTGCCGTCCCCAGGGGGCAAAGGATCCCGCCAAGTGCGGGGACTTTGGGCCTCTCTTCTCTGCTTCCCCATCACCAACCCCTGGCCAGAGACAGGAGATTCCCTTTCCTCAGGATCTACTCCTAAGGCTGGAACGTTCTCTCCAGTCCCAACATGACAACCTCATCCCTACCTCAGCCGGCTGGTGTCTGTGAGTGCCTCTCTCGGCCTGGCACGAATGCCACAGAACATGCGCATCATGACGAAAAACTGCGGAATGATTGCAGGTCCTCAAGGGGGTGCAGATCTGCAAGGGCTACCTCAGACGAGAACTGAAGAGAAGGGAGTCTGAAGAGCAAGCAGGGGGAAGAGCATTCCAGGCAGAGGGGAGAGCAGGTGCAAAGGCACAGGGGTGGGAAAGCACATCTGTCCGAGCACGGAGGCTGGGAGGCAGGCGGCCGGCGGGGCCCACTGACCGGCCATGGAGGCGGGCCTTGGAGTCACGTAGACCCGGCTCCAATCCTAGCTCTCCCCTCCTTTATTTTTTGTTAAAGATTTATTTATTTCTTCATGAGACACACAGAGAGAGGCAGAGACGCAGGCAGAGGGAGAAGCAGGCTCCCAGGATCCCAGACCCCGGATCACGCCCTGAGCCAAAGGCAGATGCTCAACCACGGAGCCACCCAGGCGTCCCTAGAGGTTTAATAGCAATGAATAACACACAGAGGTTGCGGGCACTGTTCTAAACACTGTGTATTAATTGCTTCAGCGTCCATAAAACCCTAGGAGGTAGATTCCAGTATCA